TACAGCCCCGGCGCCTAGAAATCAACACACTTAACCCCTTCCCTGCCCACGCGCCACAAAACAGCCAGTCAGACACCGTGGAGAGGGGTGACCAGACACAACCAGCCAGACACAACTTCAGTGCCAGTAACCGGTCAGTATTAACACAGCTACTGCTGCCAAAGACAAGCCCTCTGATATTCGGAATTTTTAAGACCCACAAAGGCCAGATAGAGAAAAAGGCTGTGTCTCTCGGTGGGCTCAGCACGCCGAGGGTGGGGGGAGGCTGGCACCCCTGGCGGGGAGCTGTGCTGGAGCTCACCGACGGCCGTGAGAGGGGATGAGGAGGAGAGGGACAGCCCCTCACTGCAGTGGCTGGAGAGGAATAGTCGGAGAGGGTGGCTAGGGCTGGCACAGAGCTTGAGAAAGGGCCTGAAACCCTCAACCCCCCTCGTTATGACCCCAGCGTGTTCCTGACCCCCGACCCCGCCAGCACGCTGCCAGATCAGCCAATCACTCTCCTTGCTTGGGGTGGGGGTAGGAGAGAGACAACAGGCAAATCAGACCAGAAGCAGGGAAAGGACTGCAACATACAAGCAGGAGGAAAACAAACAGGGAGAAGCCAAGCCAGGGAGAGAGGGAGAGAGGCCTTCCCCCACACACGGGGACAGAGAGGAAGAGATGCACAGACCCCAGAGGAGAGCAGACAGCTCCAGCGACGTCACAAGCCATGTCTAGTGGGGGGACTGACCAGGATCCTGCAGGACGTTCAGGGCTGTGGGCTGTGACCCGGAAGTGACATCAGCAGACGCTGGCAGTGGAGGGGTCGAGGGGAGACAGTACAGACCCCCACAGAGAGAGGGGTGGGGAGCAGGGCTGAAGCCGGGGGTCACTTCAAACGCGAAAGATGGGAGAGTCAGAGGCGAGAGTCACAGAGAGAGGTGGGGGGGGCAGCTCAGGATTTTGGAGGAACTAGCTGACAGGGATTTAAAAAATAAAAGCTGCTGGCCGAAATTCTAGACTGCAGAAACCCTTTAGCGGTCGCTAGTGGCGGTACAATTCACCCTGCTCCAAGGTCGCCCCCCTCCGATGTGCCGTTTGAAAACCCTCTGCTACGGCAGTAGAAATAAAACCTCTGCAGGTGTGGCGGATCCGAGGGGCGAAGAACGTCCACTGTGGACCCAACCTCCCGCTGCTGAGCTGAGGGCGCGACCCCACACAGCTGCAGAAAGGCCTCGGAACGGAGCACACCCCAACTCTCCCCACCCCCGGATCGGGGCACGGGGACCTGTCGGGGAAGCAGGGCTGTCCCCTGCCTGCAAAAAGCCCTCAGCCTTCTGTTAATCCTGCCTTTCTGTTTTTTAAAAACCTCCTTCCACCAGTAGGGGGCTCCGCAGGGTTAAAATCTCCTGTCCCTCCACAAGGCATGGCTCTGCCAAGCATAAGTCCTGAGCCATGAACATTGAATTCTGCTTTTCATTTAAAAATAACCTCAGCTGCACCTTACACATCTGAATACCAAAACTCAATGTTGTAAGAATCTACAAGTACAACAAATGGAGATTTAAGCAGAATAAGTAAAAAAAAAGCACTATTATAACAACACCTGGAATCTCCCTTTTACCGTTTAGTTACTGATATGTTAATAGTTCTGCAGTAACATTTGTTAAAGGGATAAAAGCTATGTAGATAAATGAATAGAACTTTTGACACAATAGCTGGTAGAACTGTCCCAGTTTCAAAGCCTTGACAAGCAAAATAAATAATGTTTTAGAAAAGCGCACGTCCCTAACAAACACGGGATTTGCAGCCTGAAGATCAGGAATCCCGAAACTCTGGGACCTTTGCCAACATTTCAATCTCATAAAATCCCAGGATTAGCCCTGAAAGATTCCCCGGATTTGGGGGATTAGCACACTGTATTCCATTATCTGCATGAACCCGGAGCTTTCCCTCGCCACGCCGGGCAGACCGGCAGCTCCCAAACCCGGCCCACGACCCCGTCCGACCGTCTTCCCAGAACTCCGGCTCAGCACCACCGTTGAACTCCGGAATTCCGGCGTCTCGGGCCGCTTTGGGAAAGCCCCGTTCTCCCTGTGGATGCTGGCTTGGTGCTGCGGGCTCTGATGGGAGAGAAATCCCATCCTCCGCAAAGGATGGATCAGCCTTTTCCTTAAAGAGCTGGATTGGGGGGGGTGGTGAATCCGCTGTAGAACTGGCAATGGCACCGGGAATGTCGACTCCGGACCTGAAGCACCTGTCCGGCACTGCTGGTGGCCCCCCAGGGGATCCCCAGGAGGGGGATCAGGCTGACCGACGCGCAACACTGCAGGGAGGACCGGTGGGAACAGCATCCCAAACCCGCGTGAACAAGCTCATGGCCTGCTTTTCCTGCTCCCATCAGGCCAAGCAGCTCTGTCACCCTGCAGCTCCCAGCTGGCAGCCCCACTGGAGCCCAGCAGGTGTGAGCCTGG